TTTTGGGGGGAGGGGGGAAATGGCATTTATGAACCTTAAATCTGTACCCCATAATATGCCAAAATAAAAAAAAAAAAAAAAAGCACCTCCTCAGTAAGGCCTAATCTAATCACCCAAATCTATGTTCTCCCCAAGTCGTATTGTTCTATTGTGTTCCTAACATTCATCAGTTTGTTAATTTTCTTATCCATATATTTTTCTTTCTCTTCACAAAACATAAGTTCAATGACATTAGGGTCTTATGTAACTTATTCACAACTGTCAACATCTAGAATAAAGCTGATCATAACAAATATTGATTTTCCTTATTGGAATGAATGAATACCCTTGATTTCAGTACTCATTGTGATCTCAAGTAAAGGGAGAACATGGGTTAATCCATGAGAGGAAGAAGAGTAGGACATGGGAGCGATTCTCCTAGCAGCAAAATGGGGACATATTAAAGATAGGCTTTGCTTTAATATGGAGCATCTGAAGGAATTCAGAAGACAGGTGCCGCTGGATCCTGCTCCAGGCAGGAATACTTTTAACCGCAGAAGCTAGAATAACCGGATGCACTTAGAGATTATTTCTATTTGTGGAATATAAAATGGAAAATGTCAAGCATTTTAGAAAGTTCAAAGTCCTCTGTTGCACCCAATTCATGAGGCAAAGGAAGGCTTCCCGAGTAGAACAACTGAGAATATTATGTAGCGCAACAATGGGAGGCTGCAGCACTGATCCAGTAAGTGTCAAAACAAAACTAGTTGGCGCGCACTACCGTTAGGGATGGACATGCTGAAGCTTTGAACTCGAGTGGGGGAGGCAAGGGCAATATATGTAACCTTAGCAATATTTGATACCCCATAAATGATGAAATAACATATATATCATGAGAAACATAGCGAAAGAGGACATTATCATGTATTATAAGTGTTGGCTAAATGCAAAAATATGAAACTGTAATGTTACATAGGAAATATAATCGAACTGAATGCTTAAATTACCAAAGTAAAAGTCAAGGACTCGTAAGAATTTTCATATTCTGACACATGAACTTATGTTATGGTTCATGATTCCATCCCTGGAATACCGCAAATTATTTCTAGTAGATAGCATTCATGCAGGGCACAGCTTGCCGTACAAAGGAGGAGCCCATCTCCTTTACTCAGCCTGAGTTTAATTTTAGTTCTGCTTCCTACTCGGCTCTTTACTTAGGCCGAGTTATTTTAACTCTCTCTTTCTCGTTTCCGTCGTCCTGTTAACAGGGTGAAAATAATAGATCTTATTAATAGATCTATGAAAATAAATAAGCGTCTTGTCATAAGCACTTAGGACAGTTTCGGCACACAGTAAGATCAATAAAATGTTAGCTCTTCTTATCGGGTCAATAAACCATAACCTAGATCATGACTTTACAGTTGGTTCATGCCTAACACTTTTTACGTCTCATAATTATAAATCTATATATTTCTCCCAATTTTACAAATATTCATTATGGAGTAAATAATATGAAATATTAACTACATGTCTCCATAAGCTAATACAGAATGTAATGTAGTATAATAGTATGTGTGTGTCTGGTATTCTTATACAAAGTTAATTTGTGACATATTCATGTTACAATCTATACTTAAGTACGCATAACAACAAATAAAATACAGGAGTACACAATATATTTGGACATGACAGTGTCCATGTTATTTTATACAATATCAGTGAAATATTCAAGATAAAATTATTGCGGTCATTTAATTTTTTAACTTAAACTGAATTATGTGTTAGAATGAACCCAAAACATTAAATAAAAGCTTTAGTTTTTTTTTACTCGTCCTAGTAGTATAATAAAATGTTTCTTCAGGAAAAAAAAAAAAACACAGGCTAGTTGAGATATTAAGAACTGGAGCCACACGAAGAGCAAATCATCGAAGTTTTACCCAATTATAGACTTTCAGCAGTGGGGTGTCATCACCCGTTCCAAAAAAAGCAGGTTTATCCCATTGGTCAACCCCAATACTCAAAGACCAGAAGCCAGTTATTTTCTATCAGAGGCTTGCTAAAGTACGAAATGTCGCGCCGCCTCGCCAGCAAGGAAGACGCGGCAACTGGAGTTCTTCTGACAGTGCTTTAAGGGGTTCCCTTTAGACTTACATGATGCGGAAGACCCAGCCCGCAGCCGCAGGCTGCTATATACCCTAGAAGCACAACCCCTAAGCTGGGATAGGCCGCTCAGCTGTCGAGCCGCCAAAGCATTGGTCCATAGTAGGATCCTTCATTTGCATGCTTGCGCCACAGGGTAACCGACAATTGCGCGTGCGCTGAACTTGTTTACTGCTCTAGGCAAAGCCGGAAACAGGCGCCATCTTGTAATGGCGTTGACACCGCGCCCCACATCTCCCCCTGTTTTATTAATTTAATGAGAGCTGAGCAACCGTTCAGCACCGTCCTTCGACCGTGCGATCAAGGTTGCAGAGCCTCATTATCACCAGCAACCACCTTACCTCGTGCAATGAGCAAAACTCGGAGGTGTGCAAAGGCTGGCTGTGGGATAGGAGACATGCCTTATCTGGTGCAATGGGAGAGATCCCTCAGGATGCAAAGGCCATGTCTGAAAATCCTGGGTAGGAGCGGGTGCAACCAAAATAGGCTAACCTTTTAGCATGGTCAACCCCACCTGTGAGGCTGTCCCATTTGCCACAGGTAGGGCAGATGCCTGGCTGTTTGTTAGAGGAGCTCCCTTGCTTAGGAGGTGCTCTACATTGCCTTTTAAGGTGCCCAGGTTTGCCACAATTGTAGCAATTGCGTTCCTGCTTTGCTTGAGCTGCTAAAACAGCGGCCGCCAGGCCACTATTGGTCAGGGGACCCCCTATCTCTCTGCATGCTTTTAGCCAGGCATTAAGGCCTTTATTCTTCCAAGGGGCAATTGCATTACGGCATTCCGTAGTGCACTGCTCAAAGGCAAGCTGCTCAATGAGCGGCATGGCTGTATCTAGATCCCCAAATACCTTTCCTGCTGCCTCTACTAGCCTAGCTACAAAGTCTGAGAATGGTTCAGCAGGGGCCTGGATGATTTTTGTCAAGTTACCCTTGACCTCCCCACGATTGGGCAAGCTCTTCCACGCCTTGATGGCTATGGAGTTGATCTGGGCATATACCTCCTCTGGGTAGGCGACCTGATTGTTGACCCACTGCCCCTGCCCTGTGAGCATGTCAAAATTCCATGCTGGTTGCCCGCGCTGGGCGTTTCTCCGGGATTGCTCCATGCACTCTTCCTGGTTAATGGACTTCCAATCTAAATACTGACCTGTAGTCAGTACTGCCTTGACGAGCTGACTCCAATCTCTGGGCGTCATTGCTGTATTGCCCAGTCTCTCTACCAAAGATAAGGTGTAGGAGGCCCCATGTCCCCAGTTTCGGACAGCCTCCGCCAGCTCTTTCAATTGCTTGGCGTTCACTGGCTCCCAGCCCCTTTGATTATCATTCTCAAAGACAGGAAAGGTAAGGAACAGCTCTTTTCGCTCTTCAGGGTGGATGAATGAGTCACCCTGCCGTGCGCCTCTCTGCCTGGGGCGAGCGCCTAGTTCCTCATAAGGCGGGGCATACGGAGGCGGGCGGTACCGCCCATTCCTGTCTACTTCCTGAAAGCCTTGTACCTCTTTCTTTTCTAGTTCCTCATCTGACTCTGGGCCCTCTCCGCACTCTGACTCAGAGTCAGCAGTGTCCGACAAGTGAAGATTGTCAAAATCTGGTAAGGGGTCACAATTAGGCAGATCGGGCTGCGCTTTCCCTCCCTGCATTTCCTTTTCTAGAGCTCTACATTTTCTTATTCCCGCGGTCCCTCCCCTACTGCTTCTCTCCGAACTTGCGTCTTGCAAGTCATCTAAGGCTTTTTGGCTAGCCGCTACACGCAGGCCTGAGCTTTCATCATGCAGGCACTCCATAATTAGGTTGTGAACAAGGAGGGTGCCTGGCCTCAGAGTCCCCGCACTACGAAGGTCCCGTCCTAACTTCCCCCAAGAGGGAATAGTCAAAGAACCCGAGTGGAGGAACCAAGGAGCTACACGGTCCACCTCCTTCAAAAATTTTATGAGGGTCTTTTCCTCATATAATTCAGTGCGATATTTTCTGGCCAATCTTCAGAATCTGATAGCTTCAATATGACCTAGATAGGTTCATGTTATCTATATTTTATTATGTAATTATTTTATGGGAAAATTCCAAAAACAGGTAATAAATATATTTAAACTTATATTTGCGTGTAGCAATTCAATTCACTATTCAAATGAATCTGTCAAGCTTATCATGAAAATGAGCAGCTCCTTTGAATGTAATACACATGTAGTAGCAGGCCATTTCCAGTTCTCCTGAACTAATGAGCATCGTCTAGAACTGTGCTAGTCACAGTGAGACCTGTGAAGAGGGTCGTGATCGTTGTGATCATTGTTTGACAAGGCTGGAAGCTTACAGATTTGTTCTTTTTTATTGACTATGCTGAAACTTTAGACTTTGCTTTTTTTCTTACTCTCAGCTGTGTTTCTCTCTTCTTTTTAAAGCCCCATTTGTATTTCCTGGGAAATAAATAATGAGAACTAAGGGTGATTCTCAGCAATTAAAAATCTACACGACCTATTCCCCAGCATCATGATCTCACAGCAGGTCATACCTCTCTCATTTTTCCCACAGATGTATCTTACACCAACACCTTTGTTTATGAGGCAACTGCAAATTGCTGTAAGTACATAAGTAGAAATTGAAAGCAATTAAAGTCTGAATTAGCTGTTATTTCCAGTGTAGTTAATTATCTATAACTAATAACTTATGTATAAAATAAATGATAGAATTTAATTATCTGTGCTGCTATTCTTTGATATTCATATTCCAACTATAATAACATTCAAATAGGTTAGCAAAACACAACTTTCACAAAGGAACAGTGAAAAGCCTTCCACTTATTTCTTGCTTTCTTTCCTACTGGGAAACTAGTAAATTATAACAAATGTCAAAATTCTTCTTTATTCTTATTTGTTAAAAGAGCAACAGAGTTGAGCTAAGAAAATAGAGTTCTACTATTCTTCCATGTTCATCTAAACATCCTCTTGCTCCCTCAGACCAGCAAAAATTCTCTAAAAGTAACAAAATGATACCATACACACACAAATTCACTATAAGGAGATAATGTTTTTGAATTTATTTCATTTATCCCTTTTACCATATATATAACCTCTTCAAAATACTCCAATTCCCTGTCCAATTACAGCAAACATCCTATAAATATGTTCTATGCTACGTTTCTATTTCTGAACATTTTCCCTATGCACACTCTCCATTAGGCTTCACCCCCATCAAGAGCTGAAGATCTGCTCTTGTCGAGGACAGCTACGGTCTCCATGCTCCAATCAACATATTTTTATGCACTGCAACAATCAGGGTGCAACAGGAAACAGATAATATAATCAAACTCATAATTCAAGAGAAGTTGAATACAGGAATTTACTTACAAACTGTAGGACAAATCTAGGAAAACCACAAGGATAAATATACCACCCACAGTCAATTAACTTTGGGGCTGTTATTGACCCTAATCCTGGAATAATGAAGGAGGATGCACTTACTAATCAAAAGGAAAGAGTCGTGGGAAAAGACCACCTGGAGGGAGGTTATGCCCTCTCGTAGAGGGACATTTGCCAGTCAAAGCAAGCCCTAAAACTAGTGATATAGGGAATAAGCACCCTGAATTTACTGTCCTCTCTCCAACAGGTTTCAATGATGGAGATCCTAGGTAGCTGGGTTGACAGAAGCAAGAGATCAAGGAAGTGCTGATTATTCCACCATCTCAGTCTTCCAGGATAAATAGGGTAGGAGAAGATGGAAAGTGGAACTGAAGGGTAAACAGAAGTATCTTGCATACATCCCCTATGTCTTACTTAAGTCCCGGAGAATTATGCACAGCTGCTACTCCCTGCTTCCTGAAGTGCTTCCTCACTGTTCTCATGCCACCACTCCCCTCGGTTTCCTCTAGATCACCAACTTCTCCATTTCCTCCTCTCCTCAAATTTTAAATGTTGTGATATCCCTTGCATAGTCTTATTTACCTCAGTGGACAGTAGCTTTAAATACTGAAGATGCTGGAAAATGCTCAGTTTTTGTCTTTGACTTAGAACTCTTTATTAAGTTTCAAATCACATATTAAACTGGGTCGGACATCTCGCTGGATAGAGTCTAAGAGAACTTCAAATTAACATATGAAACAGAACAAGACACACCTCTGTCTTCACCCTGACAAAATTGCTGTTTCCTATTCTTTCCATTTCTGTAACTAGAACTACCACCCACCTACAACTCAATCAAAAATTAGACATTTTACTTTTTTCTTGTCCCTCATGAATTGCAACCAATCATAAATAATTCCTATAGATTCTACCTCAAAATGATATCCCTTAGGAATTCCCTTCTCTCCATATGCCTTATTTCTCATGTAGATTTCAGAATATCTATGAAATTAGATCTCTCTTTGCCCTGTACACTCCTACATAAAGTTCCAAAGAAGCCCAGAGGACCTTTAAATAATATAAATCAGATCATGACTCATCTCTGCTTGAATCTTCCAAACCTTTGCCTTCTGCACGTGAACTCCAATCCAAATGTTTCACTGTGGTCAAAATCCTAGGTGACTTGCTGGCCTGCTGAGCTCTTTGAACTAATCATTCTTCTCCCAAGTGTCCTTTTTTTATTGACACATAATATTGTACATATTTATAGGGCACAAAATGGTATTTGATACTATTACATGTGTAATGATCAATCAGAGTAATTAACATTTCCATCACCTCAAGCATTATCATTTCTTTGTGTTGGGAACAGTTAAAATCCTCTCTCTTAGCTATTGAAATATACAAAAGTATTGTAACTATAGTAACCCTACAGTACTGTAAAACACTAGAACTTATTCCTCCTATCTAGCTGTAACTTGTATATGCTACCCAGCTTTCCCTAACACCAATCTTTCTACCTCTAGTAATGACAATTCTACTCTGTGAGCCTCAATTAGCTCCTACATATAAGTGAGAATATGCAATTTATCTTCTATCTCTTGACTTATTTCACTTAACATAATATTCTACAGGTTCATTCATGTTGCCACTAATGACAGGATTTTCATTTTTATGGCTGAATAATATTCCATTATGCATACATAACACAATTTTTTTTTATCCACTCATTCCTGGCTACTATTAAGTAGTTCCAGAGCTTTGCCCGTTTTTTCACAGAGGTAGTCTCTGTCCAGTCATCCCTGCAGATCTCACCTTGTTTACATTCACATCTCTATTCAAAGGGAGTGGGAGGGGGAGGGGCGTATATACATACATAATGAGTGAGATGTGCACCATCTGGGGGATGGTCATGATGGAGACTCAGACTTTTGGGGGGAGGGGGGGAAATGGGCATTTATTGAAACCTTAAAATCTGTACCCCCATAATATGCCAAAATAAA